CAGCGTCGATTTCCTGGAAGACAAGTGAGTGCTTCAAAATCACTGATACTTCCGCAATTTTGCGTTTTCCTGCCACATTCACACCGAGCACAGAAGGAATGATCAGAGATCTAATAACACACTGAAAGCCGATACCACCAATAACCTCTTTTATAATATTCCTACTTCCACGGTCCCTGAGGTTTCAAGACTACTTTAGAAAGTCAATTACATCACCGCTACCGTCACCTCCACCACTGTCTGAAACATTACTAGGTCTATGAGGGATAATGTTGCCCTCTAGGAGAATGCAAGCATCTCATCATAAACATCTGCTCATAATATACAAGGAAAAGTTTTGTCATGGATCAAGGTACGGCTATCTAAACTGTGTCCTAGGACTAAACCTCCCTGGATGGCCTGATCAGTCAAGCTGTTAGTGCTAGATGCACGAAGTCCAGCGTCAGCACCACAGCTCAGCTGATCAGGGACTGACCTAAGAAATTTGTCCGGTTCTTTCTTGAAGACAGCCAGGGATCTGTCGCTAAAGACAGAAAAAACTTGGTCCCTTCACATTTATTGAGGTTTACCTTAGTATCCACATTGCACCGTTGCTTTTCATTGGGGGTATTTTGCATCTCTGTCATCTCAAGGTGTCCCGTGGCCTGATAGACAACGCTCTCGCTTCACACCAGTGTCCCTGATTCTATCCCCTGCAGGGGTGGAAATACTGGGCGTGTTTCCTTACACCTGTTCTCCCCGTTCACTCAGCAAGCAAGTGGGTACCTGGGTGTTAGTGGACTGGTGTGGGTCACATCCTGTGGGACAAGATTTATGGACTCCCAATAGAAATAAGACAGAGGGTCCTCGATGATGCACTGACTTTCTTGGGTTGTCCTGAGTGGCTAACCCTCTGGGGTTAAAAATCTTGATTTTATCTTAAGCCTCTTATTTTCATAGGTAATATGTTGTGCAGATTAAGGACCACTCCTAGAATTTTCCAAGTGTAAATAATGTACCTCTCTCGCCTACATTCCAAGGAGTACAGACCGAGGGACTTCAAACATTCCCAGTAATATAATTGCTTGGCTGAAAGTATGCAGGCAGTAAAGGTTCTCTGCACATTCTCCGGTTCTGCAGTTTCGCTTACCTTGAAGATAACTGCTAGAAAACAGCAGGACTCCAGCCTAAAGAGAACAAAGGACTTAAAGAGTATCAGCATTTCTTGTTTTGAAAGTTCATAGTTATCAGGCCCATAATTTTTCTTGCGGTAGTGACAGTGACACTGTTGTGATCTTTGAAGGTGAGATCTGACATGTTCACCTCCAGGTCTCACATTAGTTTTACACACTACTGAGTGATTTAATTTTGTGTGTTTTTAGAACGTTTCAGTCTTTATTTATTCTCTCTTCCATTAACAGAATAGATAAAATTTGTCTCACTGAACGTCTTATTGTTATCAGTGGCCCTTTTAGGTTGGCTGTGTCCTAAATGGATGCCACACTCGTGCAGATTCTAGTACTGTCTGCAGAGAATATGGTGCTATGATTTATGCCTCTGTCTAGTATGTCGGGTATGAGAATAAGAGAACAGGGGCCTTGGGAACAAAGCTTTTCACTATGGCATCTACTGATTTCACTCTATTTACTATTACACTTTGGGTTCTATTTGTTGGAAAATTAAATATCCATCTGCCCACTTTTCCGGTAATTCCTTCTGCACGCATTTTGCAGGCTATTACACAAAGTCTGTGTGCACTACATCTGCATATGTCTTCCCATATATCTAAGACCATGTCGTAATGATCAAGCAATTGCAAGAGGCAGAAGCGACCTGCTCTAAACCCATGATATCCCGGGTTGTACAATGTTGAAATTCTATGTGATAAGCAATCTTGCTTTTTAATTCCCTCTAAAAGATTTGATAATGTGGGACGTCAGTACTATCGGTCTGTATTTTCCTTTTTGCAGATGCCTTGCTGTCACCTTTGTGAAGTGGGGCTGTCAGTGTTTTTTAAGACTGTATCCAGGCATCTCCATCACAATCAAAAATCGTTATAATCATAAAGAGATAGACTGGTAAGCCAGCGAAAGGCCTCGGTCAGATGACCAAAAGCTCCAGTTGCTGATCATCATATGACGAAGACCAACGTCAAGAAATACTTGTCCGGTTTCCTGACAAATCTTACCTACTCCTTCGCAGAATATTCAGCTCACGAAAATGGGTTTTTGAATTCCTGATGAATATGGAGTTCCATGCATCAGGAAGGGCTAGAGAGCAAGGGCATGTAATTGATGGCTTTTTTCCAAGTGGGGTTAGAAAGTAAGGTTAGAAAGCAGAGTTTTCATAAATAAGGTAAAATCAAAGTGGGGACCAATGACGAGTAGTGTTAAACAATGATCATATGACTCATTGTTCTAGCGTTCTAGTGGTACACTCTGTAATCACTATTTTACTACATGTAAACCACACAATAACCAAATTTCTGTAAACTCAGCATTGTAATCCTTATAGAGAATAAACTTTGAATTGAATTGTTGGTCGCAATTTATATTAATCATCATGACATGTGACATGAAAAAATCTGCTGACAAAAAATAAGCCAAAGAAGTAGATTCTGAGGAGAATACAACTGAACTTTATGAAGAGTTGGGCAAAGTGTTGTGATCTGAAGTGGCAGAACTTGAATAATGTGTGAGGCTATGCAGCCCAGACTGACCACCTCAAACTATTACTTCAATGCTGATGGACTGATCATATAGTTTTTACCTATAAACTGCTTTTACTGTCTGCATGTTTAGACATCTCTGTATTCGACTGAAGAAGCTTAATGTGCACTGAGCTATTTTATAACTTAGGGATAAAAGTATTCGTGTTGATATTTTATCAGTGACTTTCAGCCTTATAACCCATAAATGTCATATACCTGTAGACACAGAAACATCCTAGAGTCCTAATACAGAAAATTCTTCTCCAACTAAGACGTTTGTCTAGCCTATTGGTAGGATAAACAGAAATATCAATCTCAATCTCAAAATAATGAATCTTAACTAGTCATAAGTTGGCCTGTGATACTCCAATACTGAAACTATGTATAATGCCAAAACAAAAGCATTCACATTGCTAAACTCACAAACTAGTATTTAGTCACTTAGCCATAATACCAACTTACCTCATAATTTTGTAATATTTTAAACTTAAGATTTAATTTAAGTCTGCCCGAAATGCCTAGCCATGCTAGGTGTTCTAGTGGTACACTCTGTAATTATTTTACTACATGTAAACCACACAATAACCAAATTCTGTAAACTCAGCATTGTAATCCTTATAGAGAATAAACTTTGAATTTGAATTTGAATCTTTCCGCTACTGTATTTTCCCCACGAACGACGCCTCCTTCCCCAACTACTTCGCCTCACCTGTCTCAGCATATAAGCCTCTTCCCCAGGCATATGTGTATATTAACCATATTTTTTAAAGGGGTGGATCGGGAAACCAGTGGAAGGCCTCAGTCAGATGACTAAGAGCTCCAGCTGTGGTCATCACATGACTAAGACCAGCGTCCGTAAACACATATCCTATTTAAATAAATAATATTTTAATTTCACAAGTACATGTACAAGGTATACAGGCCTAGCTGACAAAGCCGCTTGTTATGCAGAGCATTTCGGGAAAATTGGTGCCCCGTGGCCTGGTGGTAAAAGCTCTCGTTTCACACGGTGAGTGTACGGGTTCGATTCCCGGTGAAGGGGTGGAAACATTGGGCGCGTTTCCTGACACCAGTTGTCCATGTTCACCCATCAATAATAACGGGTATCTATGTGTTAGTCGACTGGTGTGGGTCGCATCCTGGGACAAAATTGACCTAATTTGCCCGAAATGCTCTGCATAACAAGCGGATTTCTATATATTAGTATGTTACCGATGTCACCCAGGCCTGTATACCAGGTACATGTACTTGTAGAAATAAAAATATTATTATTAATATTATAATCAGGTCAGTTTTGTCCCAGGATGCGACCCACACCAATCAACTAACACCCAGTACCCATTTTACTGATGGATGAACATAGACAGTCGGTGTAAGAAAACACGTCCAATGTTTCCTTACACCGTGTATGAAGCGAGAGCTTTCGCCACCAGGCCACGGTGGCCTGGTGGCCCGTGACCTGGTGGCCCGTGGTCTGGTGGAAAAGAACGCTTGTGCACAGTTCATGAAATTTATTAAATGTTTTGAACTGTACACAAGTGTCCTTTTCCAGTTTGTCGGTATTACCAATAGCATTTATAACTTTCCCTGTGTATATGCTGCACTTTTATCAAGACTGATGGGCCTGAACATATCTCGAGGCTGAGGGACTGATTGCCTCAAACTCCCTTGTAACATCTTGCACCGTTTTCTTTGTATTTGATTAATAAATCACTGGTTTTCGCAATAAAGATTCCCAGTGTTGCACAAGTGTCTCATTCATCTATAATATGACCCACTTACTTGGAAATAAGTCGGAGTACATATGACTTTTTTGGGTTATCCTAGGTTACCTTTATATATATGTGTGGTCATAACACCTGTGTGACCTTGACCGTTGTGTAAGAATGTATAGTAAAACTTTTTATTTTTTCAATGTACTTTGGATAGGCTTTAAACCTAATGTAATACTAGAATGCCATCTAGGAGAAAATTGCGCATTTTATTACGTAAACATGGACAGCCGATAGCTTTGCAAATCAAAATAAAGAGAAGCCAGAACGCCACCGAATTAATAATTGCGTATTGCAATACGTCAGTGGCGTGAGGAGGTGCATGCACAACCTCATCACTAATACATCCAGGAATCAATTATCTTCTACCTTTACTGACTACACACATGTTTGAATCTTGTAGATCTAAGTCTGGCGCTGTAAGAAAGATAATATGTCTAACATAATCTACTTTTTATCTCTGTCAATACTGGATATACAGTCGAGTTTAAGCGTCAGGAAGCAACAGTTGGCAGCGGCTTGACGTGAACGATACTTACCTTAATATTTCCCTCGATTTGTTAATGTAGGCTTGACAGCGTGTAATTTCGTCTAATAATTCAAACAAAAGCTGCACTAGAAGGATGAAAGGAGATGTGATTTATGAAATAATAAAAGTAAGGAAAAATTAATGGAGCATTGTGAAACTTTGTAGAAATGAAAAGATGTGAAAAACCGAGGTTGAGACTTGCTACGAAGAAGCCACACGCGGCCATACCCCCATTGTACCACTTATTTACTCCTATAACACATTCACTACGTCTCTTCTAACAAGTGTATGTATATGACGAGCCCCTCACACAATAGATCAATAGGTAAAACCGTAAAAACTCCAAAAAATAGGCCTAAATATGGCGTGAGAAGGTAAATGTTGATGGCAACGCAGGATGGTGAGGTTGTGTGGCGTGTACCAGCTCACTCTCCCCCATCACACTTGCCCTTCATACATCTCCTCGCGTTTATCATTCACTTTCCTCATGGGATTACTCTTCGTATAGCTGGAACTACGCGTGTGGTGAGGTAGGAATGCTCTAGTGCGGCTGTAGTGTGTGTGTGGATCTAGTAAGTTGTGGTGGTTGGGGTGTTGCAAGTGGTAACTTCCATCTGGAGGTTGGTTATTGCTGCTGTGGTTCTAAAATTGGACGTGTTTGGCTTAGGTGGTGTCTCTAGTAAGGTAAGTGGCGTAGTGCTTAAGTGTGTTAGCCTTATTAACGGATAAGTGGTAAAAAACAAGTGACGAGATAGTGACGGAAGCCGACAAGTGCTAACTTCAAAAAAACTTTTCAGCGGGGTAAAAATCTTTATATTCCTACTTTTCACCCACAGTGGGGCGTTATTAATCACTAGGTAAAGTCCCACTCTAAGAACATAGTCCTATAATAAGTGTTTTCCCGGATAAAAGTGTCTGAAACAAGCGCATCACCGAGGCATTGAATGACACTCCCCCACCTGGCCGCCTCCCACACCGCCCTATATTTAAACCCGTATGAGTACACGTGGTCGCCATATTACCTAGCTTGTACATTTTAATGCAAGATATATGGTGATGTTTGTGTTATCATTATTACACTGGGAAAAAACTGCCTAGTGGATATGTTATACGTCTGGCACCCTTCAGGGGTTGTTCTTTGAAGCTTGTGAAGAGCTCTTGATCCAGTGAATTGGACCTGCTTTCCTCTTCCATGTATTGATCCTCATTACCTCCCGTTCAATAGGTGCTGTTTACCTTACGGGTTTAGTGCATCCTCATGGAAATAATCCACGCCCGGCATCAAATCACGCCATGCCGGTGTTTTAAGTGTTAAAAGTGTCGTACCACAATATGCAACATGCAATAAGTGACCTAAATTCTAGGACAGAGCATCGTGTTCTTGACGTTCCTGAAGGCAGTAGTTATGTACCAACTCTCTGCTAACAGCCAGCAGCATGCCAGCCTCTCGCCTAAATTTAAATCCGTCAAAATTGTAACTCTAAGTGACAGGAAGCTGGGTGCGTCCATGACCTACTAACTATTACTTATTTAACTGAAAAATTACCTTGAAAAGGTCGGGGGAGGGCTCTTGTTTCAAGGAGTTGGAGCTTTTTTTTCCCTCCCTCGGATCGAACTTTATTACCTTTCATTTGCAAGACGCAAGAACCATAATGGAAATAAGTCATCTACTTTTTTGGGGTTATCCTAAGTAATTTACACACGTTAAACTGTGTATTATAATTACGTATTTGTTCCTGTGCCTAAATAAACTTATTTACCCAACGGATTTAGCGCTTTCCACTGAAAATAAACTTAAGGTGCCCCGTGGCCTGAGCTCTCGCTTTACACGGTGAGGGGTCCGGGTTCGATTTCCGGCGAAGGGGTGTAAACATCGGACGTTTCTTTACACCGATTGTCTATGTTCACCCATCAGTAAAATGAGTACCTGGGTGTTAGTCGACTGGTGTGGGTCGCATCCTGGGACAATACTGACCTAATTTGCCAGATATGATTGCATACCAAGGAGCGCTTTCATAATATTAGTCAGTGTCCTGAGTCACACTTAGCCGGTAGGCCTTGATTGTACTGTAGAAAGGTGTAACATGATTATTTATTATAGATTGTCTATTATTACATCAATATAATATATATGGGTAGTTATCATGTGTGGGTCCATCCAGTGGAAATAAGACCTGATTTAATTATGGAGTTGATCCTAGGCTAATTACATATATTGTACTTAGTGTACTTTGGTTTCAATAAACTTAATGCCTTGTAGATGACTTTAAGTAAGAGGTATATATTCGGTTATATGTGAAATGGCGGTTTACATTATTATTTAATTAATGAGGTACAGTGGAATTAATCACCTGACTTTTTGTTTCCTAGAATTTACATGATATTTGTACTTGTTAGTACCTTGCTTTATATAACTTAATATATATATATTATTATATATTATATATATATATATAATATATTATATTATATGAGTAAATGATATATAAATAATATTATTAATTAATACAATATATGATATACTATATATATATGATATATATATATTATTATATATAATATATATAATATATAATAATATATATAACGCATACATATATATATATATATATTATATATATATATATATATATATAATATATATATATATATAATAATATAATAGCATAAATATATATATATATATATAACACGCATACATATATATATACACGCATACATATATAATACTAATCACGCATACATATATATACACGCATACATATATACACGCATACATATATACACGCATACATAACACGCATAATATATACACGCATACATACCATATCATAACACACATACATACACATATATACACGCATACATACATAACACGCATACACATACATATACACGCATACATATATACATGCATACATATATACATGCATACATACATATATACACGCATACATACATACACGCATACATACACGCATACATACACACATACATACATACACGCATACATACACGCATACATACACGCATACATACATACACGCATACATACATACACGTACTTGGGAACCTGGAGGTACATGCATCTAAACAGGACTTTAAATTGTATATTCATTAGTTCTTTGTAGTCCTTGATGAATATTAAGTTGCATGATAGCTTAACCTAGCATATGCTTACAGTTTTTACAGTAATTGCTGACATTCCCCTATAAATATTGTGGGTTTAGCACTTATTTATGATTATAATAATCCCCACAAATATAAATTTTAATTTTATATCACATAATTATGAATTTTAAGAATGTATAATCCTATGGATTTACCAATTCCCTCAATAATAATAATAATTGTATATAATAATTTTATATAGTAATACTTCCAGATTATTTATAAGAAAAAGTGTGTCTGTAACTCCGATTATTGCTTAATTTCATATCAACAATAGGTCCATCTTAAGAATAGTGTGCAGTTATGCTGTTGAAGGACTCTTAACTAGGATTCTAACTAGGCCACAGAAAATGAGTGAATCGTGCACAATTATTGATAATCGTGTTATTGATGAAGTTTACAGAAAAATAATTTTATATTCAAATTTTAATATTTTAAATGCATAATTAAGACGTTTTTCATAATTGTCTTGCAAGATTAATTACATAAATTTTCAATTATTTCTGGCCCTGGTGGGTTTAGCGCTTAACTTTGACGAAAATATCAATTACTGAAAATATAATCAATAGTCAGAATGCTAAGCACATATTCATGATGTATATAATTATCTGTTATCTATTATTCTCATTAATTTCATTTAGTATAACTAAAATAATTCAAAGCAGATTGAATGTTGACAATCTGTATTTATAATTTTAAATCACCTATAATTGGTAATGATAATACAGTATTTAACAATCACTGCTTGTTACTATAAATATGATTATATACCACTGTAATTTATAATCTTCACTTGTATATTGTAATTATAATTTTCAGTTGTAAGTTGTAATCTGTAATAAATTATAGCTAATATTAAATCTACTTAGATAATGGTTATTAATATAACATTTCCTATAATTATATTAAGTCACTAATTACTCTGTATAATCATGATTATACATTATTTTCTACACTTACGATTCTGTGATCAAGAGTTATATGACCATTATGATTAGAGTGATATGCTGTGATTGCAATTATAAGTATAATGGTGATTATTGGTAAGTAAATTTATTTCGGGATAGATACACACGCATACAATTATCATATATGGTAAAGTGTGTGTAAATTACCTAGGATAACCCCAAAAAAAAGTCAAAGTGACTTATTTCCTTTGGGATCCTTGAGATTTCCATTGGGGTCCTTGTACAGTATATCAATTGGGGGTCCTTGTATTTCCATAGGGTAATCATATAACCATAAATATGATAATTATAAACAGCCATTCCCTTCAAGGGGCAATACTTTGATACTGGTGAAAAGCTCTTATTTTAAATAATTTAAATTAGCCTCCCCTTCCTCAGATAGGATTTGATTTTATATCATTCCCGAAGCACTGTATATTTCTGAAAAGTTTAGTGCTAGCCCATAAGGGTAATGCTGTAATATACATACACAATTTTTTTTAACACAGCCATTTCCCACAAAGGCAGGGTGTTCTGAAACAGAAGAAACTCTTCCATAATACCTCACTCATTCACTGTCTTGCCAAAGGTGTGCCGATACATCAGTTCATAAACTGCAACATACATCCACCCCTCCTTCAGAGTGCAGGCACTGTATTTCCCACCTCCACACACAGTATTACTGTACAGTAGAACCCCCGTATCCATGGGGGATAAATTTGAAGGCCCTGCTATGGCTACCATAGCAAGGCCTTCGAATAGCAGTAGCAAACCCTATATATAAGTCCTATTCATAACTGTTATAGTTTAATTGATGAATTATGCACAATACGTGGAGAATTATCACTTTTTCATTAATGGGTAGCACTTCTCATAATCTTTGAAGAACTGCCAGCTTTTGTACTTTTGCACTTTGGCTATTATTTGGCAAAATTAAGAGGTATTTTTGGACCATAATAAACCGGGGATAACTGAAACTGCGGATACCGAATCAGTGGATATGGGAGTTCTACTGTATATTACTGTACATAATGTATGCTTTATTATGAAATTTGATCACAATGAAAGTCATTCTAAATGCATTTTTTTAATGTCTTGTCTCATTCTTAAGGAACATGCTGAAGGGTTGTTAGGTTCATGTGGAAAAGGTACTCATAGGGCCCAAACA